TTTTTTTTTGTGAGTGAGATGAATGAATGCATATTCATATTTATTTTAGAACTACAGTAACATCTGATTTCTCTCACCATGGCGACACCAGAGCTGTCAATCAATAAATTGGAAAAAAAAGTAACTTGCGTTACTCATTTGAAAAAGTAACTCAGATATTCTCTTGTAAATTAAAAAGTAATGCGTTACTTTACTAGTTACTTGAAAAAAAGTAATCTGATTACGTAACTCGCGTTACTTGTAATGCGTTACCCCCAACACTGATCAGATGGTAATACTATATTGAAATACATGTACCATGGTATCTACATGGTACTCCATGGTACATCTGAGTAAACCATGGCACTATAATTGTACATGTCTAAAATATTATGGTAGTGTCATAGTACATAGTAGGCAATACCATGGTACTTTTTGGGCAAATCTTTGTAAGTATAGCCTATTTTGTTTATTGGACATATGTGACCCTGGACCACAAAACCAGTCATAAGGGTCAATTTTTCGAAATTGAGATTTATACAGCATCTGAAAGCTGAATAAATAAGCTTTCCATTGATGTATGGTTTGCTAGGATAGGACAATATTTGGCAGAGATACAACTATTTGAAAATATTAATCAAGTATTGAGAAAATCATCTTTAAAGTTGTCCAAATGAAGTTCTTAGCAATGCATATTACTAATCAAAAATTAAGTTTTAATATATTTACGGTAGGAAATTTACAAAATATCTTCATGGAACATGATCTTTACTTAATATCCTAATGATTTTTGGCATAAAAGAAAAATCAATAATTTTGACCCATACGATGTATTTTTGGCTATTACTACAAATATACCCCAGCGACTTAAGACTGCTTTTGTGCTCCAGGGTCACATATACTATGATAATACCATGGTGTTCCATGTACCCTGGAGTATGTAAATGCTATGGTATAGTAGTAATTCAGTACCATATGTATATGGTACTATAGAATGCTGTTAATATCATGGTACTTTTTGGGCATGTTTTTGTAATGTTGTAGCCTGTTTTGTTTATTGGACATGTATCATGGTAATAATACCATGCTATTCTACTGTACCTTGGAGTATGTAAATACCATGGTACAGTGCATAAATATAGTTATTCAGTACCATAGTACAGTATATGGTATTTCATAGAATACCACGTTAAAACCATTGTACTTTTTGAATGTGTTTTGTAAGTATAGTAGCCTATGTTGTTTATCAGACATGTACCATGGTAATACCATGGCATTATATGAAGTACAGTACCTTGTATTATGTAAATACCATGGTGCATAAATATAGTAATTTAGTACCATGGTATATGATACTATATATAATACCATGGTACTTTTTAAGTACATTTTTGAAAGTAGAAGCCTATTTTGCAGCTATTTTTTCTGCACATGTACAATGGTAATTCCATGGTATAAAATATCATATATTTAAGCACCATATATGATACTTCACAGAATACCATGTTAATACCATGGTACTTTTGAGTACATTTTTATAGTAGCCTGTAGCCTTGTTTTTTTTAAATCATGTATCTTTGTAATACTGTGGAGAGTGTTTTTCATTAAGTTAAGAACAAGCATTTTCAGCAATTTATTATTATATTATATTGTTCTCAATACAAGTTGAGCCAGTATACCAGTTTAAAAGAGGTCTGACCATCGCATGACATCTTTGGTTAAATAGCCACATATGATAGCATTGCTGCTAAGTAAATATTCATTACTTGAGATTAAATATGAATGGCACATTTTTTGAAGTGCATCCGGAGTGAATGCTCACATCACTCTGACAGGTGTAAGGCTCTGCATATGTGATCACACACACACACACACACACACACACAAATGTATGTCCTCATTTGTCACAAAAACGCGCGCACACACACACACACACACACACACACACACACACACACACACACACACTCAAAATCTGTCTGATGTGATTAAGTCAGGAGAAAGAATGACATTCTGTTATTCTGACATTCCATAAACAGAAGCACTGTATGATCAAACACTGGGGTGCATTTAATATGCTTTATTTCCAGAACCAAAACAACCCCTAATCTGGTTAGAAGACTACATGCATCTCCTATAAAACACTTGTTCTCTGGCACAAATGCATCCTATGGTTTTTCTGCCTCAGCCTAATATTACATAGCCTACATGCTTTATATTCCCTGAGCGCTGTCTCTAATGCATGGTTACACTACACCTATTTCTCTCTGCTGTGCTCTTGGCCAGACGTCAGTTTGCATGGGGCAAAAATGGATTCATTTTAAAAGACAAATGCTATTGTAGGTCAAAGCAAGAGCCTACTGCCTTTTTATCATAGAATTATGTAACTATAAAATTGATTGTATGAGAAATTGAGATTGTTTGAATAAATATCAAACATCAACAAAAAATCACAATTGAACCTATTAATTTTATTTAGTACATGCTCCTGGTCTGGTTGTGAATGTTGTATTAGTGTACATGTTATAAAAAAAAACGTTTGTCATTTTCAGTCTTTCATCAGTATTCACTACAAGGACACATTAAACTGATCAAAAGTGACAATAGAGATATTTATAATATAACGTGAAAACAGATTCCTACTTCAAATAAATGCTCTTCTGAGAACAACTTTTGAGCAGCAAATCAGCATAGATTGATTTCTGAAGGATCATGTGACACTGAAGACTGGAGTAATGATGCTGAAAATACAGCTTTGATCACAGGAATAAATGACATTTTTAAATATATTAAAACAATTATTTTATAAATATATAATATAAATTATAATATTCATATTAAATTATGAATCATAATATTATTATATATTATTATAATCATAATAATGAAGCCTTGGTGAGAATGAGACTACTTTCAAAGACATTTAAAAATCTTAATGGCATCAGACTTTTGAAAAGTATTGTGTATAATTTATTCATTTAAATAATTTATAGATTTAAAAATCAGTAAAAAAAAAAATCCAAATTATGGCAAGCGTATGAAATCATGTTTATTTGCAAATCAGTTCATTTATGTACGTCACAGTTGAGATCTATGACACGGGCGGAGTCAAATGAACAGATGAGGGCAGGGTCACAGAGTCTCAGGAGTCTTTATATTGGCCCAACTTCCAATGAGCAAATCAGCAGCGTTATTCAAACCTGAGACCCATGTGAGGAGGTACAGTAGGGACAGACTACAGAGGCTTAGCGAAGGTCTGATGGATGCTGGGTGGTGGGAGGAGCAAACCTCAGCCCTGTCTACCCTGGGGGCCCCCATGCTTGCGTCGACAAGAGCCCAGGAGAGTCTCCAGAGCCAGCTTCACGAAGGCCTGGAAATTATTGCTTCTCTCCCTTCGGCTGTCCTGCGAGGGGAAAGACACAAAGACAGTTAGTTAGCTTGACTGGAAACATACATCAAGTGCAATGAAATCCAGTTGTGCCTAAGAGCAAGCTAGAAATGTGCAATCTTCTCTCAGATATTGTATAATGCTTCTCCTATACACTAAATATTGTTTGACACTTTATTCTATTGTAATAAATCAGTAAAAATATGTATTTGTGAGTCAAACATTTACTTTCATAAGCCATAAAAAGCATTTTACATTTCAGGTATTTGCGGTGTCATTTTTGCTTGTATTTCAAATGTTCATTTGAAATGCCTTTTTGTCTCACTCATGTCTTCTATGCTGTTGTCAATATTTACCTCCTTGCTTTTTGGCATCATCTCCTTTCTGATCACCTTTCTTCGGCTGCTCCTTAGGACTCTGAGGTTGCTACAGGGAAAAATAAATAAATCAATAAAATTAAATTAAAAAAAAAAAAACATTTAAAGATCTCAGTTATCCCAAATAACAAAAGTATTTTCTAAGAGTGGTTTGCTAACGTTCCTATTAAGTTATGAAAACGTTATGTCTGAATTTTCTCTGAATATTTAAAACGACCAGTATTAATATTTCAAAACATTTTTTCTTGGTTATGTGAATGCTATAGAGAAAACATTGAGAGAATGTTCTTTTTTTTAACTTTTAATGTTCAAAGTTATTCCAGCTAACAAAAACATGTTCTAAGAATGTTTTGCTTTCGGAATGTTCTCTAAATGTTCCAAAAACATAAAAAAAAAAAAAAAAAATTCTTGGATATGTAAAGAGAAAACAGTTTACGTTAGAGAAAACATTAAGAGAATGTTCCCTTTATCATTTTGCAAACAGTATAGGAAAGTTCAATTGGAATGTTCTCTGCACATTCTGAAACAAATAATAACATTTAAAAAAATGTTTCAGAAAAAGATGTTCCTTGAACAATGTATAAATAATGTTTTTCTGTGCACGCCATTAATGTTACTGCAAGAATGTTTGAAGATCTCAGTTAACCCAGCTAATGAGAATTAGTTTTAAGAACGTTTTGTTAACGTTCCCATTAAGTTATGAAAATTTTATTTTTAAATGTTCTCCGAACGTTTAAATCAACCATTTTTTTCTTGCTAATGCGAATGTCAGAGAAAACATTAAGTGAATGTTCCATTTATCATTTATCATACTTTATAAGAACAGTTCTTTTTAATGTTCTTTGAACATTCTGAAACAAGTAATAACGTTTAAAAAACATTTCAGACCTTATTTTATTAGTATTGAAACACATTGTCTTTATCATTGCTTTCTGTTTCTGTGTACACTATTTTCTGTGTAGAAAATGTATTAAAAAAAACATTTCAGAAAAATAAATGAACCATGAACCATGCCTAAGGTTTTTGTACTGATGTTTTGTGAATGTTATTAAAGCCCAGACGACGAAAGTTCTAGTAATGTTACTGGAAGAACTTTTTTTTTTCATAAATTTGCGAGAACCTTGCCAGAACATTAGTCAATACCGACAGTGGCTGATTTTGAGCAGGCATTATGAATTATGCACGTGTAGCTTTCCAATATGTGCAATGGGTCTGCTGTGGGCAATTTTTACCTTGGTGGTGGATTTCTTGTCCGCCTTGTTACCTGTCAAATGTTAAAACATTCAGGACATTACTTTTTGCATGCCTGGTTTCATTTACTACTAATATTTCATGACTGTTTTGCATAAAAAAAAAACATACAAGTACATATTAATTATATCCATCTCCATCATCGTACACATTATTGGACGGTCTTCGTTACACGCGCTGCGGTGACGTCACTATGCAGATCAGCTGTTGGAAGGCGGGTCGGTCACGTGATCACGCCAGTCCCTTCAGACAGAATGCACCGGTGAGAGTCTCGCACGGTAGGTGTCCTTCAAATACACAATTATTCATGACATTGCGTTTCAGTAAATTAAACCCATTCAGAAATTGTTATTAGCGAGATATTATGGCCACAGGGTGGCTGATATGATTTTTGGGGGGGATTGTAAATCGGTATGTAACGCCTGTTGTTGTTAGCTTCCCTGCTAACTGGGCTAATGCGTCAAAACATTGATTTTTAAAATAAACTATTTTCTTATGCGGTGCATAAATATGAATCATTTTGTTATTATATATTTCTTATGAACGTTGTGTTTACATTAGTCATGTTGCATTGTGCTAGTGTGTGGGATGTTTGTACTATTTGTACATTAAACTGGATTAATACGAGTTTTTGTTTATTTGTTTACAAAATATGTTTTAGGACTGTTAATTTGTGCATTTTAATTTTGTGCAAATTAATATTTTTTTTACGTTTGCATATACTAAATGTAGTTATTTCTTTCTGCTTTCCGAATAAATCAAGACATCAATTGCTATTATTTTATATTTTTCTCAATTAAAAAAATGTAATTATAAACGTTGTCAAGTTAATTAAACGTAAGTATTTCCAGATAACATTTTAACATTTTGTTTTAGTAACATGACAATGCAAAAGACAAATATTTAACTTTGGAAACCATTTTTAAATTGACTTTACTCTTAATAATATAACAAAGAATAGTTTCCTTATACTATATAAATGGATTTTTACACTTGAAATATGCAGCTGCCTTTACATTTATAAATAAATAATCATATTTATTATATTTAGAATCTCTCATAAGGGAATCATCGTATTTGGGGGTCCTTAGCATCAAAAAGTTTGAAAACCTTTAAATTACATAATTAATTTAACATAGTTAACATAACATTACTATGCTAACAAAATTAACATAGTTAATTGCATTTATTGTTTATATTTAGGGTTACTTGTGTTATTTTGTCCCTCATGTAATCTTTTTAACAACAATTACGTAAAGAAAACTTGTATCATATCTCAACTGAACTGAATGATACAAATAATGCTTTGAAATCTTTAGTTATTAAATATACACTACCGCTCAAAAGTTTGGGATCAGTACGTTTTTTAAAGAAGTTTCTTATACTCATCAAGGGTGCATTTATTTGATCAAAAATACAGGAAAACATTTTAATATTGTGAAATATTATTACAATGTCAAATAACATTTTTCTATTTTAATATTCATTAAAATCTAATTTATTCTTGTGATCAAAGCTGTATTTTCAGCATCATTACTACAGTCTTCAGTGTCATATGATCCTTCAGAAATCATTCTAATATGCTGATCTATTATCAGTGATGGAAACTGTTGTGCTGCTTAATATTTTTTTTGGAACCTGTGATACTTTTTTTCAGGATTCTTTGATGAAAAAAAGTTAAAACGAAGAGCATTTATTTAAAATAGAAATATCTTCTGCTCATCAAGGCTGCATTTATTTGATCAAAAATACAGGAAAACATTTTAATATTGTGAAATATTATTACAATGTCAAATAACATTTTTCTATTTTAATATTCATTAAAATCTAATTTATTCCTGTGATCAAAGCTGAATTTTCAGCATCATTACTCCAGTCTTCAGTGTCACATGATCCTTCAGAAATCATTCTAATATGCTGATCTATTATCAGTGATGGAAACTGTTGTGCTGCTTAATATTTTTTTTGGAACCTGTGATACTTTTTTTCAGGATTCTTTGATGAAAAAAAGTTAAAACGAAGAGCATTTATTTAAAATAGAAATACTTCTAACAATATACACTACAGTTCAAAAGTTTGGGGTCAGTACATTTTTATTCTTTCTTTTTTTGAAAGAAATGAAAACTTTTATTCAGCAAGGATGTGTTAAATTGATAAGAAGTGATAGCAAATGTTTATTTTGTTAGAAAATATTTGAATAAATGCTTTTCTTTTTAATTTTTTATTCATCAAAGAATCCTGAAAAAAGTACCACAGTTTCCAAAAAAATATTTGGCAGCACAACTGTTGCCAGCATTGATAATTCTAATAATAAATCAGCATATTAGAATGATTTCTGAAGGATCATGTGACACTTTATACTGGAGTAATGGCTGATGGAAATTCAGCTTTGCATCACAGAAATAAATTATATTTTAAAGGATATTAAAATAGAAACCATTATTTTATATTGTAATAACATTTTGCAAGATTACTGTATTCTGTATTTTTGATCAAATAAATGCAGCCTTGATGAGCAGAAGAGACTTCTTTAAAAACATTACCAGCCTTACTGATCCCAAACTTTTGACCGGTAGTGTATATTTTTTAATGCAATTTCTATAACAGTGTATTTGTGTCTCCTGCAGCCCTTGTGTTTCCTGCATCTCTCTGTGTTTGTGGATCTCATGGCTGCTGTTTGGCAGCAGGTGCTGGCAGTGGACGCAAGGTGTGTGCACAGGTAATGAGTGGAGGGCAGAGGAGCCTCTTAAAGAAGAAGTTACAGTTCTGTGAGAGCCAGAAATCTTGCTTGTTTGTAGGTGACCAAATACTTATTTTACCGAGGAATTTACCAATTAATTCTTTAAAAATCCTACAATGTGATTTTCTGGATTTTTTTTCTCATTTTGTCTCTCATAGTTGAGGTATACCTATGATGAAAATTACAGGCCTCTCTCATCTTTTTAAGTGGGAGAACTTGCACAATTGGTGGCTGACTAAATACTTTTTTGCCCCACTGTATGTACCTTTTTTACATGTGTAGGGCCTAATCATTTGTTATATTGTTCTCTATTTTCTGTCCTTCTGCCTCTTTTTGTCTTTTCCTCAGGTACAATGCTTACCGTACACCTACGTTCCCCCAGTTCCGCACGCAGTACATCCGCCGGCGCAGCCAGCTGCTCCGCGAGAATGCCAAGTGTGGCTTTGAGCCGGGGCTGCGCAGGCAGTATCTGCGTCTGCGCAGTCAGTTGCTCGCCCTGCGTTACGGGCCTCTGTCAGAGCAGAGCAGCTTCAGAGCCAGCAGTGTGCGCAGTTCCCGCACCACACTGGATCGCATGGAGGTTAGGTGCATTCAGAAACAGGGAAAAGGGTTCGAGAAATGCAGATAAGGAGTTCTGGGTTGAAATAAGCCCTAGAAAAAACACAGACAGAGGGCAAGATAGAACATCTATATAGTCCTTGATATAAATAGCAATGCAGATCCAGGTCTTTGTGTTGTGTGAGAGCTGCTGTGCATGTAGATTGCAAACTCTTTTGTGCATGATGGGCTTTATGTTGCTGTAGTGCTAAACTCTAAAATCATTCTTCATTACTGCCTGCTTTCATATTTTCTTGGTCTTTTTTTATTCTCTTCTCTGTCTTTCAATCAGGACTTCGAGGAGGATCCCAGGGCTCAGGGTGCCAGAGGCCACCGGAGATCAGTAAGCCGTGGTTCATACCAGCTGCAAGCCCAGATGAACAGGGCAGTGTATGATGAAAGGTAAAGTCATCTGACAAATGTTTGCAGAATGCAAAATGCTATGAAATGCATATTATTTTGTGAAAAAGTGTGACATGCTTAAGCAAAACAGGCGCTATTATTAGAATCGGCACCCCAAATGAATAAGAAACAAGCATTGGATTTCATTAAGCAAATATGATGCAGGGTGTTATTACTGTGTCTTGCACTGTGTACCAGTATGAATAATTCTCTGGTTCTATTTCATGTGCCAGGCCTCCAGGTAGCCTGGTTCCCACATCGGTGGCAGAAGCCAGTCGGGCAATGGCAGGTGACACCACCCTAAGTGAGAACTACGCCTTTGCCGGAATGCACCACATCTTTGACCAGCATGTCGACTCAGCTGGTGAGTGAGCTGTTAATGACACGACTAAGATGACCAACAAAAATGACTCTAGTCTATACCAATTTTTTTATTGATGGGCAGTACCTTAGAGAGCAGGGTGAAACAATGTCAATACAAAGCCTATTTAATTTTAAAATGGTAAGTAACAAATGCTGCATGCTACAGATTTATCGACATTATACTTACTAAATTAGAAATAAAGATTAACGCTTGTCTGGGACAAGTAGATTTTTTTAAAGGGGTGACTGAGAGAGAATAGAGAATTTATATATACATATATATATTTTATTTTTTTTCTAAATAAAAGTCCTGATACTTATTGGCCAAACAGGAAAAAAGAAAAAAAAAGCAGTGACTGGATTACCATTTCTTCTTCTTTTTTTTTAAATATTGTTTAATTAATATAGTTGTTTAATTTCTGCTTTGCAACATCTGCTAGTTCACAGATTTGATACTTTTACATATATCCATACTGCACCTTAGACATAACCGTATTTAGATGAATACCTTATCAACACCAGCATTTTGACCAAGAAGCGCTTTTGATCCTTTTTGCTGCGAAGTTGCATTACCACTAGCCTGCTTCAGTGCTTGCACATAAATGTTTGAAAGTAGCATCTGTCAGTCCTAGGTCTGGACTGTTGTTTTACCCTTTCATTTTAACCTTTTAATATTTTGTCTCCTCAGTTCCTCGATTGCAGTTTGCCAATGATGATAAACACCTCCTCGCCTGCTGCTCGTTGGATGGGACATTGTCAATCATGACATTGTCCCCGCCTCCACCAACTGTAAAGGTGACACTAAAGGGCCATGCTGGTCCCGTGACTGACTTCGCCTGGTCACTCAGCAATGACATCATTGTGTCCACGTCAAAAGATGGCACTCTGCGTATCTGGAACACAGAGGATGGACGCTGCATCCGAGAGGTGGCCGACCCAGAG